AGTTGAAAGAAGTACTGGATTCAAAATACCCTACTGAAATCGACAAATACTCTCCCTTTATTATTCCAACAAGATTTTCTCACCATCAGCGTTGAAGTTAACTTCTCTAAGACTAAATGGATGCGAAACGAGCACTGCCCGGAAAGCTGCGTCTATGTGATTGAAAAAGAATTCGCAGAAGTCACCAGCTGTGTAGATCTTGTCTGTCAGGAGGACCGCATGAACTAGACAGACAGCATAATCCCCCCGAAGAAAGAACATTGCATAGGTCAGCTTTAATCGCATTAGAATATTATTACTCGACAGTTTGCTGCCCATGCCGGCGAAGAACAACCATTTAATTGAGCCACTGAAAGCAGATCTGCTACTAAGGTCGAAGAGAACAAACAAATGGGCAGGCAAAGAACGACAGATCGAAGACTGTAAGAAGTCACCCTGCGGAATCACGTTCCGAGATACAAATTCTACAGCGGACTGATAGAGAGACGTGGTTTCGCCCTCAACGATGCCAAAAAGGTGGATCTCTCTGATCTCTCATGTGGCTCTCCTAACAGAAAACCAATGAACGTCAAGAATACAAACCTGGTTCCGATGAACCACCATCGTCTAGCCGGTCGTACAAGAACAAGTTGGGATGATCCGAGAGTCAAATTATTTGGCCAACGGTGGTGGAAGAAAGCGGAGAGTACACAATGTCGGGGGAGCATCGACATGTGTTCATGGCGCACTCACAACGAGAACAAGTCGGGTAACGGATATGTAAATAGTTTTGTGACGAGTACGCAACCAGTCATTGCCATTGCTTACCCTGAAGACCGACAACGTGGTTTTGTGTAAAAGGTCAGCAGCTATAATAAACACCTAACACGCACGTAGTCGCTGTGTCCAGAACCACTGAAGAGTCTTTTTAATTAAGAACACCAATTAAATATGAAAATTGGTTCGTACTCCAGAGCCTGTCAACGCATGACCGCATGCAAAACTAGATTTCACAGTGTATGACACGTCGCACTTGCTCAAAGTTACCTCCTGGGTGAGGGGAGGGGTGGGGGCATTTAAGTAAGCTACAGTTCAAAGGTATCTGAGTTATACGGTGGTAGCTGCATCGTGCATTGCTTTCTCTGCTACAGCCTCCTTGCATTTGTCACAAACGACGTTGTAGGCGCTGACAGTCCTCATACGCCACCGCCACTGAACAAGCATAAAAGCAGGCTCGTACGCAAGAGTAGGTCAAATAACACACAACAATGAGAACGGGGTGGTGCAATGTGCGCCTAAAACTGTAATGGAGTAGTTACGCGCTGTTTGAAGAAAACCGAGATCTGAAATAAACTTTAAAAATGGAAGTTCATGATGCTTAAAAAAACAGATAACAAATGACAATGCCAACGATTCATGGTTTAGGGTGTCAAAACAAGCAGATTTTATGAAGAACGCGTTTCGCTATGCACGCCGTAGCACCGTCAGGGTACAAATGATTACCAAACAGCTAGCCGCCTCATACATGCAAAATACCTCGATTTAAAGAGAGCGGTAGATTGACACAAAGCTTTAAACATTATGCTCATAGCCTTAGAAAACCTAGAGAGACCTGATCGACATGATTTTCAAAAATGCAACTGCTAATGTAATAAATAATTCACGAAAGTGCAAGCAAGTATCAAGTCAAAAAAGGCGTCTGATTAGGGGATGCATATCATCGACGCTATTTAAAGCAAACCTAGAAGAGGTTTAACAGACAGCCTACTGAGAAAATGAGAACTTGAAGATAAAAGGGCATTACTGAAGCTACATGCGATTTGCGGATGATATTGCAGTCCTTTGAAGGTCACCGAAAGAACTTGATACCGGCATCAAAAGGGGACTCAAAATTTACCGGAAGAAGTGCCAAAGCATGCGTGACAAACCTGTGCTGCGCAACCTATTGAAATCCATAGAGTGCGTCTGCGTCGATTTGGGAAAACAATGTCTGACGGTCAACCGACTATACCATCAGAACGAAGCTTATCTGGATGATTGAAAGTGTTGCTATCCGAAAAACTGCCCTTGTGCTTGAAAAAAGTGTTCGATCAGTGCGGGTTCCCAATACTAACCTGTTGATGCGAAACGTGGACCCTAACACCGAAAACCATTCATTATCTGATAATGCAAGACAGCATGGAAAAATGTATATTCGGATTTTGAAGAAAAGACATAATGACCAATGAACGGATAAGGCCACAAAGAAGTGTCTGTGATGTCACCGAACGAGTGAAGAACTAGAAGTGACAATGGGTAGGACATGACGCAGAAAGAACCAACTACCGCTGGAACAAAGAAACATTAAATTGAGGTATAAAAATACATAAACAGCCCGTGGGAAGAGTTCCATTCTGACGGCAAGACGGGATGAAGGAATTCGTTGGATCGAGATGGATAAGAATCGCAAAAAACATAAGTTAATGGCAAACAAACATAAGTTGGAGGCCTGCGTCCAGCAGTGATAATGATGATTGATAATTTTAAATTTTTGAGTTTAATGTCCACCACTCATTACTTTGCATACATAAGTGTATACAGATGCAGGCATAGCGAATGACACAGACATGAAGTGTTAACATGTGCGTTATTTGAGGCCCTCAACCATGAATCGGCAAACTATATGTGACCAAGATGTCATACTTAAATAAATATTAAACAGAAATTAAAGAATAAATAAAAAAATTTGTCTTTGGTGATGCAATCTATGAAACCAAAGCATATGGGGACATATCCGCTTGCAAAGCGTTGAAAGAGTTTCGCAGCTGAGCTGCGGCTACGCAAAGCTCGGCTTGCCATCCATCAAACGAAACTACGAACAGGCCGAAAAACGTTTGTTCGTTTTGCGGCATGGTAAAAAAACACCAGGTCGTCACCGATGACTGGCTGGCACTTA